ACTCTCTGCTGCCGGGTCGCTGAGCCCCCGGGGGTCTCTGGCCCTGCGGGGTGCGGGCTCTCCCCCAGCAGCACTGCCTGGGCTGTAGGCTCAGGACTTGGGGAAAGCAAGCGCCGGTGCCCTGGCCGCCTCTGTCCCAGCCCCCTCGGACAAAGGTGCTGCCGGCTGTGCAGGCTGGGTGTGACATCTGGTGAGAGACGTTCATCAGCTTCATAAGCAAAATCCAGCAGTGCTAGGGCTCCCACGGGGCTGTTTTCTGGGACTCTGAGCAAAACGGAGAGGAGAAGGGAAATCCAGTCTGCACAGTTGCGGGGCAAGGCTTGAAGAGCAGCTCCCACAGATTTCAAACTTGCTAGGAAAGCCTTTCACTCTCAGACCTAATGCTAACGCCGTGGGTTTGGGAGGGGTGCTGTGGTTTCTTGGTTCTCAGGACCGCCGGTGGAGCCGGGCAGGGGGCTGCCGCGCCGGGCCCTGTGCCCCGCTGCTGCAGCAGCCGTCAGTGGGTTTCTCCCTCGCCAAAGGTGCTGTCTGTGCTTGCCCCGCAGGACGGACGTGCCGGGGCCTGGCAGCACCCTGGCACCTGGGTGCTACAGGAACTGGAACCCGCCGCTCTTGGGCAACCTCCCCGAGGACTTCCTCCGCATCCTGCCCCAGCAGACCGCCGGCGCACAGGTGAGGCTTGCCGCCCCGTCCAGCCCGCGCCCCGGCTCCATGGTGTGGCGTGGAGCACCAAACCCGGTCCTCGGCCACCCTCAGCCTGCAGCGTCAGCGCTCTGAAAGCATCTGGGTACTGGGTGCGGACTAAACCGAAAGTCTTGGAGTGCGTCTTGTTGTTCAAGGCGGGACTGAAGTGAGCAGGGTGTGAAAGGGGAACCTTCCAGTGAGGCTTTGATGTTTTTCCTGCCATTACGCCAGCGGTTAGTGCCAGAAATGCCACTTGCAATAAGCACCTAATATTTTAGCACCTAAAATATTATTCAAATAATATTTTAAATTATTTGAAAATCTTACCTGCTACCCTGGTGAGGAGCAGCAGGACCAGCGTACGCTCTTGGGGAGAGCGGCACTGCCAGGGCGCTCAGGGGCTGGTGCAGTGAAACCTGGGTGGAAAATCTAGTGCAAACCAGAGGATTTGCCCCTGGGAAATCAGAGTCCCCATGTGCTTTGGGGTGGTTTCGGCATCACAAGGCTTGGGGATGCGGGTGCCTTTCTGCCCACAGCAGGGCAGGCAACGGGCAGCACCCCGTGGGGAACAAGCAGCCCCAGCACAGACCGCGCTGGGCACCCAGCTCGGCTCCAGGCACGCCGCATGCCCGGGGCATCCCTCGGCCCCTTTGCTAACACAGCAGCCAGCCCGCAAATGGGGCCAGCGCCCTTCTGGCACAGCAAGGGGCTGGGGGGGGCTGCAGGCACCCTGCCTTCCCCGTGCATCGGCTCCTCCCTCCCTTTTTGGCTCCAAAGGTAGCCTGCCACGTTTTCATAAATGATTGCCCTGCAAGTTGAGCTTTGTGGGCTATATTACCTTTCTGGGAATAGGGACGTGCCAATTCATTTGGGCTCAGGGGGAGGAGAGGAGCAGCTGCCCTTTTCTTTCCCTGGTAATTGTGTGCTTTCGCTTTTTATGGCTCTCTGAGAGCAGCTACAAATCAGATAAATATTGTAGGCGAGGATGAGGTTGCGGCTGTAGAGTGTGGCTCTGCTGCTCTCTAGGTGCGACTGCACCGGGAGCCGGGGGAGAGCGTGAGATGCCTTGCGCAGGGACGTTTGTCAGTGGGAAACTGCAGTCTCTGCTTTTTAGGTAGGGGGAAGTAAAAGCAGCAACGCTGGCTGAGACCCTTCTCCCTTGCCTCCACACCAGGTTCTGTCTTGGCTCAACCCCACGGTTTAAAGTTAAAAATCTTCGCAAGTCTGCGCTCTGCAAAGGAGCTCTTCTGGAGGCCCTGGTTCCTCCCTGTGCCACGCTGACCCCAGACCGAGAGGTCCCCGTTCCCGCGTGCAGTGTCCGTCCCCCTTCTGCCTCCGCCCTGTCCCCCTTCCCGCTGGGCAGAGGCAGTGCTGCCCTGTCCCCCTTTGTCCCCTTTGCAGCAGCACTGTCCGGAGCGCAGCCCGGCTGAGGGGGACGGTGCCCCGGGCTGTCGGGCACTGGGCGTAGGAGGGAGGGACCCCGCTGGGGAGCAGCAGTCGATGGCCGTCGGGGCTGAGCGTGCAGTGGTGTAACGGAGGAGCAAAAGGCCAAGCTCAGCCTGAGGTGCTGCTGCAGGGAGCACACCGAGGCCACCGCCCGACCTCTGCCGTGTTTGCCTCCTGCCCAGGGCTCCCACGGCTGCCGGCTTGCCCCACGGGGCCAGGGCTCCCTGGAGCAGGAGCGACGGTGGAAGCAGTACCTAGAGGACGAGCGGATCGCGCTCTTCCTGCAGAATGAAGAGTTCATGAAGGAGCTCCAGAGGAACCGGGATTTCCTCCTCGCGCTGGAGAGAGGTGAGAAGCGCCTTCAGAAACCTCTGCCTCCGCTTTTCGGGTGCTTGCTCCCCCTGTGAAACTGGCTGGTGGCAGCATTGCCCTGCCCGTGGCATCGTGGCTCATGCCAAAACAGAGCCAGCGCAGGATGCGGCCAGGCTGGTGGCAGGTGGTCCGACCCACTGACCCCGGGCAGTGGGCTGCTTCCCGGGCTTCTGCTCCTGGTGCTCAGCTGCCTGCCACGAGGCTCTCCTCCCCCTGCCCACCTCTCTGTGCTGTCTCTGGCAAACCCCAGCAAAATCCACAGCAAGGAGCCTCGGAAATGCCATCCGAGCCCAGCCCAGCTGGTGCACCCTCCCCGGCTGTGTGCCCTCCCCAGGTGCTGGCAGGGCCTGAACTGGAGAGCAGTTTTGCCATGATTGCTCCTTCCCTGTCACCACACTCCTTCCCAGTGAGCCGGCAGCCGGCTGCTCGCCCGGCGCCGCAGGGAGGGCTTGAGGGTGCTGGTGATTTTGCTGCCTCTGAGCAAAGAGCTGCCTATCCCCTCCCTCGTGCTGCTGCCGGCTCTGAGCCCCCTGGCTGAGGGGCCATCTCCCTCAGAGGTCTCGGGTGGTTTGCGCAGGGTTCTGCCTGCACGTCAGGGCTCGCCCCCGGCCACCGCGGCTGGAAAACCACCGGTGTGCTCACCGCGTCCTTGAGGCGGGCGGGCAGGCGGTTCCTCTGCTGCGGTGAGAGGAGCGCTCCCGCCTGCTGTCGCGGGCTCCCACTGAAGTGCTTGTGGTCGCCATGCTGAAGCGAAGCCTGAGCTCCCTCCCTTGCCATCAGCCTCTCCCTCCGCAGCTGTGGGGGCCGTGAGGGGAGAGGAGAGCGGAGCTGTGTGCGCTGCCTCGAGGGTCTGACCGAGCGGGGCGCCGGGCTTTTTGTTTTTCAGATCGATTGAAATATGAGTCAAAAAAATCCAAGTCAACCAGTGTTGCTGTCAGCAGCGACTTTGGTTTCTCCTCCGTAATATCAGGTAACTTTCAAGATGCACGTGGGCATCGCCTCTCAGCAGCTCCTGTGTTCCCAGCCCGCTGCCACTGCTGGCTGCCCGAGGTGGCTGTGGGGGGAGGAAACTGGCTGATCCGTCCCTGCTGCCCCCCCAAGCGCGGGAGAGGAGCTGGTGGGTGATGGGGATGGGTGCTGCTGCCCTCCCTGGGTGCTGCTGCCCTCCCCCCCCTCCCCATATGAAGGCGCTCCTGCATCCTGGCTCCGTCCATCCCTGCGGGTGGGAGCTGGGATCCAGTTCCCAGGGGAGACAAAGCCCTCCCTTGTCTTGGCCAGAGCGGAGGATTGTGCCTGGGAGGCATACTGACTGTTCCCGGGTAATCCTGATTAACCTCGGGAAGTGGAGCAGCTGCCCCGGTTCAGAATTAGAGCTGGTGTCTGTCGATGTCCCCGTGCGGGGGTGGGCGAGACGCAGCGGCTGGGCAGCATGGCAGAGCTCCAGCTGGG